CGTGATTTAAAAAAAAACTAAAAATATAGTCAAAACGAGCATAGCTAAGCGGTAATTGACATGTATCTCTAACCAGGAGGGTCTGAGTACAATCTATTACCCCACATGTATTGTACTAAAAAACAGAGATATAAATAAATTAATGTTTTTTTTTATTTATCATATTTCTGCATCATCCAGGTATATTGCCCTTTTATTTCTATCATTTATTTCCATCATTATATTACATTAAGTTTCTATTTTTCTTGTTTGGAATTTTTTTAGTACAACATACGTGGGAATGAGAATTTGAATCCGCAACCTTTTGGTCGGACACATGAAGCTATGCTAGGTTGATTGTTTGAAATTAAAATATAATAAGTTGATGCTCGATAGAGAATAAATTTGTTTATTTTAATTTTAAAATTATAGCTGACATTTAAATTTTAAATAAACGACCTTAAAATGGAAAAAAAAAAAAAAGAATCAGACTTCTTAATTTCGCTGCCATTTCTTTTTTTTTTTCTTTCTTCCTTTTTTAACAACAAAAGTAGGGAATGAGAAGCATATGCTGATATTTGCCTGCTAATTCAATTTAAACTATATATACACTAAAATCCCAGGTATTTCCATTTTATATTAAATATTAAATAAAAAGAAAATACACATTCTTTAGTTAAAATTTTGGAGAAAATTAGTTTATATAAGTATTTAATAAATATTATTAATTCATGATCATAAAAGGTAACAAATATAACAAAAATATCAAGAATTAATAATATTTATTAAATACTTATATAAACTAATTTTCCCCGAAATTTAATTAAAAAATGTGTATTTTATTTTTCTTTAATATTTGATATAAAATGAAAATACCTAGGATTTATTTTCTGTGAGGAATCTCCAAACTGGCAAAGGTTTTAGTTGAGGTTTTAGTTGATATATACTTTGATGCTTTGGGTTAGCAAAGGTTTTAGTTGAGAGCAGTAAGAGTATGTTAACTTGATGAGCTTCGATCGTGTCAAATGTTTTGATGATAATAAATTTTATTTACTAATAATTTTAGCGTTCCAAAGTGTTTGACATAAAGCTCAAAAATACGAATTCAACACCTTTTGAATAACTTGAATCGGAGTTCAAACGAATAATTATGGTCAAAACAAGTTTGAGAAGAAAAATCACATGTGGTAGCTGATTTAGACGGTCCAACCAATTAGAAGTCGACACGTGATAGATAACGTGGTAGGTATTGTGGCAATTTGCTAATGTGGCAGGATGACGTGGTAGATGATGTGGTAGGTATTGTGACATCTAATAGTCAAAATATGTCAACGTGGCAAATGTGGCATTAACGTGACATCAATGATTTTGCTGATGTGGTAGATTATGTAGATGAATCATGTGACGATATATGACGTATTCGAATAAATTCTTCAATAATCTCTACACTTGTTCTTAATCGACACAATTCTCTTGGGTCCATGAATCATCTCTCAATCTTCACAAATTCTCTCCATTTCCACGAGTTTCTTTAAATCTCCATAATTCTCTTTATTCATTTTTCATTATCTTTCCTTTTAATTTCCACCACTCATATGTTGTTGTCCTAAATCCAATGTTCAAATTTCATCTACGAAATTCTATTTAAAAGCAACCAAATTTATCTTCCTCTACACATCAATTATCAAAGCAAATATTTATCTCTTCAAATTATTTTGCTATCAAATTTTCATTCTGTCCACACAAAAAGTTGTCAATATTTTTTTGTAAGAGAAACATTAGAGTGTGGTTTTTTAACCATTGCTTTAGTGCGAAATTTATAAATCCCACTTTAGTGAGTTATTTCCTCGGTATTGCTTATTTTTACCTACAATTTGGATTTTTGTATTAAGGTGTGGGTGCACCTTGGGATTGTGAGAGTGGTTTGATCCTGAACGAGTGAAAATGATCCTAGTGGTTTGATCATAAATAAGTGAAAATGATAAATGTAGGTTGGATCCTAAACCTGCAAAAGGATTGGTAGGAGGTTACTCTTGAACCTGTAAAAAGAGTGAACGATCGGTTTGGTCTTCACCCGCAAGAGAGCCGACTCAATAAAATACCCAAGGAGCCTTTGAGGGTGGAGTAGGAATTTCCGAACCACGATAAATTTTTTTGGTATTGTTTCTTATCTCTTACTTTTTTACTTTCTACATTTAAATTTAATTTGATATTTTGTTATTTTTGCATTTTAATTTTAAAATCTAAAAGTGGGTAAGCAACTCTATTTACCCATTCTCTCATCTTATTTATTGAGAGTCTCGTTGTGTTGGTTCTGGTGGGCCGATTTGATCGGGCCTAGTCTGGTTGGGTGGTTTGGCCCAAGTAATTTGATAGTGTAATTTCACCCATAACAACAACCACAGGGTCCGCATATTGACATCAAAATCTGAATCCAAATCGTACATGTAACGTAAAAATATACAACTATAACTAATATATATATTAAAAAAACAATTGATAGACTTTGGCTACTTGGAATCTATGTGAATACGTCTCATGCCCATTATCTTCTAGGCTAACCAATCGTGCTTACCAAATACAGAGGCTATCCAAATCCAAATTACACAACACCCAACATCAACTCTTAGGTTTAACAAACCCAGGCTATTAATGTGAACCCTTTGGCCAAACACCCCTAGACTATTAGGAGCCGTTAAATTTAGTTAGCAATCAATATTTTAATTTTAATTAATCAATAAAATAGTCCAATTGAATAATTAAGAATAAAGGTTATATTTCATAAATCAATAAAACTGCTAAAAATACACAAAAGTATTCATTTTTAATTGTACGAGTAGAAAGGAAATTTGAATTTTTGACAATAATTAAAAGAACAAGTAACACAAGAGAAAGAAAAAGGAAAAATAGAGATGAAAAATAACAGAAAAAACAGAATAAAAAACAGAGGAGAGAAGAAAAGTACATACTTGGAGAGGGAAAAACCCCACGTGTGTTTGGGCATGAAATGAAATCTCTCATTTTAGCATATTAACGTGAGAAAAAAACATCTTTTCCTAAACAAATAAATTTAATCCTCCAACCAAACATGATATTATATATCCAAATCTATTTTCACTTTTAAAAAAACCTCCCACCAAACCAGCTCTTAGAATCGTTATATCATAAACAAAATTTTTAGTTCTAAACTCTGATATTGAACATGGGTATGATAGTTTATGTCAAATAATCTTTTGTTAAAGTTTTATTATTAAATTAATTTTTTTAAAAAATAAATTTCTCTATTATTTGTGATTTTTTCAAATATTTTCGTAAATTTGAATTGTGGAATATTTCACCTTTAATTATAGGTTAAAAAGTTTCTTTTTTATTTGTAGCCTAAAAAATATTTTCTTTAATTAATCTGAGCATACCTAAATTCAAAAATTGTGAGTTCGAATCCACAGTCCCACATATTATATTAAAAATTTTTTTTTTCTTTTATTTTATTATACAAAATGTAATTTGTTGATTTTTTAATATTTAATTTATTTGAAAAGCTATATATAAAAATTCAATATGTTTCAGACTCCATGAATGACATCTTCTTTTTAAGAATTCAAATATGTTCTAATAATAATAATAACTATTATTATTATTGTTATTATAGATTTTGTTTTAATTAATTTTTTTTATAGAATAGCATTTAATTTCTTCTTTAAATTTTTTTGTTTCCTTATATCAAATATAAATAAAAATTGGTTTTGATTTAGTAGGAAATTTTTCCATGGGTTTTTACTCATAAATTCAAATATGAATTTCTGATACATGACTCGACTAGTTGAGTTATTTTAAATTGATTCAAATATGTGCTATTGATTTGTTTAGCCAGTATTATTTATTAAGTTAAAAATACTATTTTGGTCGTGTAATTTCAACTTTAATTTTTTTTGTCCCTATATTTTTAAATAGTTAATTTTGATCCATTAATTTTCAACTTGATTCATTTTAATCCATTTACTTTCAAAATGTTTTTTTTGGTCTTGTATTTTTAAAAATTTACCATTTGGTCTCTAAATTTTATTTTTAATCTAATTTTTTCCTATAATAATTTCAGCACACACCACATTCATTATATTTGTTAAAAGGTAACCACGACTTTTATTAGAGTGTTTTGGTTGTGGGTAGAATATGTGTTAAAATTTTGCAAATAGAGATCAAAATTGTCACTTTTTAAAAGTACAAATATCAAAATGGATATTTTGAAAGCACCTAGACTAAAAATAAAACCAAATTTGAAAGTACACATACAGACACTAGAATGAACATTTTGAAAGTATAAATACCCAAATATACCAAAGTTAATAGTACATGTAGGACCAAACAAATGAGTATTTTATCCTATTAATTACTCGAGAAAAAAAAAGAGAAAAGAAAATTATTATTTCCATTTAATATGATTTTAAAGAACATAATTTTTAACAATCAAATCAACAAAATAGAAGCATTCTATAATTATAGGTAATGAAAAACTAACATACAGACTATTTGAACTATTTTTAAAAATTCAAGAGCTTTTTCAGATTAAGAAAAAAAAAGTTTGAATATTTAAAATAAGACGAAATACTTTTTTTTAAACAAAAGAAGACCAAATTCAGCATATTTTTTTCCCATTAAAATTGAAAAGAATAAAAAGAAATTCGCAAAATTGACAACTTGAGATCAGAAGGAGCGAGTCTTCGCCCCCTCACCGGAAATTACGGCCATCTTTCTCTCTCCTCTCTCTTCGAAAACCGGTCCTAAATTTCTCCGCCTACACCCGTTCGCACCTCTGCAAAACCCTCCCCTCCCGCACGTGACTCCCCTCACGCGAATGGCTCTCGCCGTAATTCGCCTCTTATGCAGGGGCGTTTCGGGCATTCCGTAGGCTCAAAGTAATACGCGCGATTTTGTTACATCATCCTCGTCGATTCAATCTGGGCCGTCCATCCTTATCCGTAAATCCGCAATCTCGAAACCCTAGCTTCCGCTATTTCTACCATTTCGATAATTTTTCAAACTTCCATTTTCGCCTTCTCCAATCTTCTCCTCCTTTATATATTCCCGGAGCCCCAGCGAGTCGCTTGCCGGAGGTTTTACTTTCTTCTCAATCAAATTCTTCAATATTACAACAATTCGCCGAACAACGGAGGAGATACCAAAAGAAAAAGAAAAGACCCATCTCAATTCCCATTTCTCGCTTTCCAATCCCTGTAAATCTTTGTTTCAAGGTTTAAAACGCGCGGAGGGGTTTTCAGATTCGATTTCTGCGGGCTGAAGATTTTGTTTTGCGGTGCTTCGGTCGGTTTTGTTCGACCCTTTTCAGGAAATGGAGAGGTTGTCGGCGGTAGCAACGGTTGCTTCACTGCCGGAGAGGACGACGACGGTGGCGTGTGGGTTTGTGAGCTGGTATGAGGTTTTCGTATCCAGTGACAGAGGTAGAAGGGAGGTTCATTATTATCTGAAGCGCGGCGACGGAAGCTCAGATCTGGCGGTCGTGGGGAAGGAGAAGAGCTTGAGGCACATGTCTTATCACTATGCTTTGCAGAATCGGTTCCTTAATTCCGTGGGGCCTTTTTCGTCGCTCACGAAGCTCAAATCTCGTAGAGAGGTGGTTGAGTGGCTAAGCTCTGTTGTTTCTGGTACTACTGCGTCTCTCTTTCTTTCTCTCATCTCCGGAATTTCCATCACGGAGTTCCTAGTTTCTTCTCATCTTCTCCTCCACCTGATTTTTGTTTTTGAATTTCTGTCTTCCGTTTTGGGTTTCGTTTTTTCTTTTTAGATAGTGAGGGGTTTTTGGTTTGCTGAGGGCGTTTCATTAGATCTGGGTTATTTTGAATAGGAATGATTTATTCGTTTTCGACCATCAATTTTTATATCTTCATCCCCCCTTTTGTTTCCAGATCTCGCTTATGTCGCTTCTTCCCTCGCCATGTTTCAGCGAGTGGATGCTGTGTGCATGAGATAAATCTTTGGGAAAGGATTTTACTTTTCCAGAAAGAGCCAGTTCATTCGAAATTCTCATGAACCGCTCTTCATATCATCAAGTCGAATGTCTTGTGCTTTGAACAGGAAACATTTGCGACCTTTTTGCCCCCCCAGTTGTCCGATCTCTGTAAATCTTGACGTGTTCCGGCCATGGGTGATTTCGTTGTTCGGGTGGGCTCTGTTGGCTTCTTAGAAAGTTTCTCCTTTGGAGTTTTCATTCCTGACGTACTTCTTTTCAAAACTACGTTTTTCCTGCTGCCAAGTTTTACGGATATTGGTTTCTTCACTAGTTAGGATTCTTTCTAGGCGTTTGTATTTGTCTTTTCTTTAATTTCCTTGGGTTGCGTTGGCATAAGGATGTTTACCTACCTGTCGACAAGCGTCCCTGAATCCGTATCTCCTAAAATTACCTCTGTTTTGATTTTCCTCCAGCCTTCACCGGATCTCATTTGATTTTTCTTTCCTCTCTTCTCCTACGCTTCCTTTTTCACCTGGCTATTTTTTTCATCGTCAATACCATTAGTTATCTCTACCATGGATTTCTGGTGTTCGTGTTCTTGTGAACTGACAGTTATCTGGGCTGCAGGCGCACTTATTCAATTTTAAAGGGCTGATTGAAGCATCGGAATACTTTTGGCCTCATAATCATAGGTTAAGATCTTTCATGGCCGAAATTGTTATGTGTTTGATTGTTAATATTTGCCGCCTTATCAAATGGGTTCTTCTCCCAATGATCCATTTGTATTTTTCTGGCTGGGCATTTTTAAATTCTCGAGCACAATATTTCGTTTTTCTTCCTTGTTTTTTGGTTTCTAGTTTATTCTTCTACATGACTACATGGCTATTTTTCCCTCTATGTTTTAATTTTTCACGTCTATTATCATCTTTATTTTGAATCTTTAGCCACAAAGTCTTCGTAGTTTAATCGATGCAGTTATTTGCTTTTTCTAGATTTTCAGCGTCAACCATCTGATCGTATGATGGACCGGGATGGTGCAGATGCTTGCCCCTCTCAGGATGGACCTTTGAAGGTAAAGCTCTTAGATGGTATACTGTCCAGCCAGTTGATAGTCCTGTGTTCTATCCATTTCTGTGTGTTTCGGTTCCAAGTATTTCAGAATTGGCAAGTCATTTAGGATTCTGCAGGCTCAAAGTCTTGCAAGTTCCGAATGGCTCATTGGATCTGTACAAGTATATTTAAACTGCAGTAGAGATTAATTTAGGACCCTTTTCCTATCTTAATGTAACTATCATATATCAATTCTTTCCTCTGCATCTATATGGCTTTTTGTTTGGTTTTTAGGTGAGCTTCTGATTTATGGTTTTCTGTTCAGGATGTCCAACAGATAAAATTGGGTCAACATACCAGGGATTTTTCATGGTTAGGATGTCCTTGGACGTGTAAGCGAAAGCGTCGGCACTATCCATCATTCAGTCGGAATGGTATTAAGATCTCGGTATGCTGACAGTTCTTGTTTGTACTTTGACATCACTTTTCCTCGAAAACTGCCATTCATTTGTTGTTGTCTTGTGTTAATCTCAGTTTGTTGTATCTTCTTTTGTTTCAGGTTCATGACTTCGTTTACGTCTTAGCCGAGGAAGGCAAGCGTCTTGTTGCATACTTGGAGGATATGTATGAGGACTCTAGAAGCAACAGGATGGTTGTGGTACGATGGTTTCACAAAATTGATGAGGTTGATATTGTTTTGCCCCGCAAATTTAATGACAGAGAGATTTTCTTTTCTCTTTGTCTTCAAGATCTCAGTATTGAGTGCATAGATGGCTTGGCGACTGTTCTCAGTCCCCACCATTTTCAGAAGTTCCAGAACGAGGCTAAACATACTCGATTGGAGCCGTTTGTATGTGACAGGCAATTTGATAATGATGATATCAAATCCTTTGATATTACACAGGTCAAAGGGTATTGGAAACAAGAAATACTTAGATACATGTATGCTCTTTCTTCCTCAAAATCCCATGGCCAGCCTCAGCAGTCGGAAGATGACGCGAATGCTGCGATGAGACCTAGAAAGAGGCACCGACGGTCAAAAGATGATGACTTGCAAAATATTGACAAGAGGCAGCAGCCACTGGCACATGTGTCTTCTTGTCAAGATGTTCGTGGCTCGGGTAACAACATGGTTGATTTTAAAAGCAATGGTGTCATCTTCAGTCCGAGAGGGGGCTGTGCTTCCAAAACTTTTCTAGGCAAGGAGTTGAAGAACAACAATTCTTCAGGTCGGTTAACTGTAGGATCGGAGGTTGAAGTTCTTTCACAAGACAGTGGCATAAGAGGGTGTTGGTTCAGAGCTTCTATAATTAAGAAGCGTAGAGACAAGGTCAAGGTCCAATATCATGATCTTCAGGATGCAGACGTTGAATCAAATAAACTTGTGGTACGTTTTCTTTTGCTGATTTTGGTCTCTGTGGCTTTAAACTTAAGATGAACTTGATTGATGTGGCCAATGCTCCTCTAAATGTAATTGTTTGAATATATGCAGGAATGGCTTTCATCTACCAGAGTTGCAGCCCCTGATCAATTGGGTCTGCGCATCAATGGAAGATTAGTTGTTCGTCCACAGCCTGGTATGGGTAGCAAAATTTCCTTAGATTACAATATCGGGACAGTTGTCGATGTATGGTGGCATGACGGTTGGTGGGAAGGAATTGTAGTTCGGAAGGAACCTGAAGAGAAGCTCCGAGTTCACTTGCAAGGTTTGAAATTATTTAAATGAAAATTGTTCTAGATAAAAAAAAAACCTCCCCCTCCCTTATTGTTCTCTTAATTCTAACCAATTTGCATTCTAATATATGTTCAGGTGAAAAGCAAGAATTAGTTTTTGGCCCCGGTGAGTTGAGGCATTCTCAAGAATGGTTCGGAAACAGGTGGATGCAAATGCAGGAAAGGGCAGACATTGCAACCTCCATTTTAACTCGAACCGGGAACAAGGGCCTCACCGATAAGGCTTCCAACGGCAAGTTAACCACGTCAACCCAAGTTGCCATTTGCGATACGAAGCAACAACCGGATGAAGATAGAATTCAATCAATTGAACCTCGTCCAAACTCCAACACCGGTAAGGCTAAAGAATCCTGCACAGTTCCAGATCTCTCCAAGGACGATTCGCTCTTTAAACTGCGGTGGACAGTTTCGAGAAAAAGAAGCCAGCCCAGTGGCAGCAACTCATTGCCGAAGCATCTCGAGGATCCAAGCAAATCCTTTCCTCCCTCGTTAGCTTCTTCCAGTCCATGTGAAAGATTTGTTATTCCAGCATCCATGAAAGTAGATCATGATAACTGCAAGTACCTTGGGGATTCTCTGTTCACTTCATCAGTGGTGCCTCCTCTCTCAAGCTTGGTAATGTCAAGATGATTTGGTAAAAACAAAAACTGCCTTGTGGATTGATTGTGCTCTTTTTTTGTTGATCTTCCCTTTTAGCAGTTCAATTTATTTTAGTTTTATAGTGATGGTGCATCTATTCGATGCTTTCTTTTGTATTTTTTTTTTTGGCTAACCTGCTTTTATTTGTAATCTGATAGCATAGAAAGGTTAACTTGAGGGAGTGTGCGTGTCCAATCTAAAGTTATTTGTATGTGTATATGTAATGACAGCCCAATGGGCATCACAAAGCCCTCTCCCTCATGTTTGAGGCATCAAAATTTTAATGTTAGTGCAGAATGAAAATCTAAGAATTAGAAGGTTTCTAACTCAGCTCCACTGTGCCACTTAATTCAACTTGGTCTTTTCTTCTGATTTCTGATGTGTTGGTTTGTGGTTTCCAAATAGAATTGGCCTATTGATTTTTATTTGGTGAATAAGTTTGATATTAACAGAAGGCCCTTAAGTAGTAGTGAACCTTTTAAGCTGAGAAAAAGATAATTGTAGGCATACAAAAAATGACAAAAAAAGGAAAAAAAATTAAAGAAAGATTTGATCATTTAATTTGTGCAAATGATGATCAACCCTTGAAACTCTGAAACTAGTCATATATCTGTCATAGTTTATCTCATACTTGAGTGGATAAGTTCTATTATCATATAAAAAAGAGAGACATATTTGTAATTAACTTTTTTAAATCTTATATTTGTAAGTTCTGGGATGATGCAGATTTTTAAGTATTTTTAAGAACAATCTTTTAAAGCACTATTGGTGCTTTGGATTTCAAGTGGAGGATTGAACTTTAATTCTAAAAGAATAAAAGAAGTGTTTTGTTCCTTTACTTTTATTTTGCAAATTTAGTTTATATGTATCAGGAAAAATAAAGTCAACCAAAAATGAATTAGGAACCTTTTTTTTAACATCAGATAAGTTAAACTCAAAATTTGAAGCAATTAGTAATGCTTAAAAATTAAACTCAAAATCAACCAATAGAAAATGAAAAATCCATCTACGAGAGTGAACGATCTTCCGTAATATCTAAAATTTATTGGAAAGTGATGGGTTGGTGAGGGAGATAAAAGCAAAGCCGCCACTTGAGGCGTGGTGGCAGCCCTTCTTGAAACTTCCCACCCTCTCATTATTTATTCAAAGCTTATTGGTCACCAAATAAAAGTGACCAAAACTTCAACCCTATCCCAAAAATTTCCTATACTCATACAACCTAATGCTCTCATTTGACGCAACTGTTGAAAGATATTGTTATTGATATTAACATCGGTATTTTTATTCATATCAATATCTAAACTTTAATCCATAATTAAATTAAAAGTTTAGTATATAAACTTTTGATTATTGTGTCTATTTATTATATGAGTTTTAGAAAGTTTCAATTAATTATGTCGGGAGGAATCTGAGCAAGACACGCGTCGGGTTCAGAGAGCGACAGTGAGGCGTAGGACCACAGACGGTTATCGCCGTACGCTGTGTAGGTGCGATGCCACCATTGTTGTACGAAGGGTGCGTTGAGAACTGCAGCCTGCAAACTTGCAGGTTGTAGGTTTGCAGGCCTGCGAATGAAGGTGCCACCCATGATCTGTCGAGGACGTACGCCCCTTCAACAGGGTCTCGTACAGTTCGGTGCACCTCTGCTATTCCACAATCGTCGTCCTTCCTGGTTGACCCCACACCTAAAAGAGGGAAGGGCTCCCCAACACCAGGTAGGTGAAAAAACTATCACTAAAACCCTAAGGCGGCGTTCACCCCTATTTTTACTCCGATTACTGACTTGAGCGTTAGAGTGTATTAGGTGGGACACCGCACCAACATCAAATTTTTTTGTTGTAGGCTGACTTACTTCTTGGCACAAACACTCATTTGAGAAACACGTAGACCTCTCCGAAATTCCCCGTCAACAAATTGTATCTTTTTTTTTTTTTTTTAATTAGATTTGAAACCCATTTTTTCTTTTAATAAAGAACCTCATAATATAGAATAAAAAACTAAGAAGAAAATCATCCTCCAAAGCTAGACCTAACTTATGAATAGAAATAACAAGAAAAGAAAATATGATTCAAGTATGTTGCATGAAGGCAATGCAAAGAGAAAAGCAAATGGAGGAAGTTTCCACAAAATTTAAATCTCAAGTCAAGAACAAGAAGACATCAACAAATTAAGCCAACCCAAACACCAAACACCAAACAGAATCAGATTCCTTTAGTTTGCACAAATATACATAAAATCCAAACAAAAAACCTCAACTTTTTCAACACAACAAAACCATTCCACCAATAACTCCCTTTTCCCCTCTCAATTCCACAACTTTCATGTCTGAGAAAAAGGCAAGCAAATATTTCTACCAACATATTCTTCTTTTTTCATTATTTTTTTTTCTGGGAGGAAGCAAATTAAAATTTTATTTGACATGAAATGTTTTGCAGAAATTCTGTATGGTGATGAAGATCAATGTTGATTGCAATGCGTGTTGTAGGAAGCTTAGGAGGATCATCCTGGGCATGAAAGGTGAGGGTGTGTTTGGTAACATTTTCATCTATTGTTTTTGTTTACTCATTTTTAATAAAGACAAATAGAATTACAGGTTACCAATACTCAAGAATCCAATTCTTAGAGTTGCAAGGAGTGCAAACAACATCCCCACGGATTAATGGTATATAAGTGAGAATAATTATCAATATGAGGTCTTTTTAGGTGAAACAAAAAACAAACCTCTTACAAAATCGATCCTAATTAAAGTTTCGCATCAATAGATTTTTTTTTTTAATTTTTTAAACTTGCAATGTTATGTCTATCAATTTTAAAAAATGCTAGTCCTTAAACTTTTAATTTTATATCTAATATACTCCTAACATATTTTTATATTTTTGAGTTTCAATAACGTGTTAGACACAAAAGTCATGTCTAAAAGCTGGTTCATGAAGTTCAATTTTTTCCGCCTAATAAGTCTTGAATCTAAAATTAAAAGTCTAATAAATTGGACATAAAATTAGAATTTATTGGACAGTCTCGGATAGCTATTAAACATATTTCAAAATAAAAGTACTTACTAAACATAACTCTACAAAATTTCAAGGATTAAACTGGTAATTAATATTGATTCTTATTCTATTTTAGTTTAGTTTTTCTTTGCTTCCTGGAAATTCACCATATCATTCTTTTTCCTGTCTTTTTTGTTGCGTCCCTCTTGCATCGTTTTTACGATTTTAAATGTTGATGTCGATGAAAATGTCAAGATCTAAATTTCATTAAAATATCGATGCAATGTAAAAGTTATAACATAAAAAATTTGTAAAAAAATTTAAATTAACAAATAAGCATTTCACAATTTCTAAATAAATTAATTAAAAAAATTAGTATTAATGTTACACGTCATCTATATATATTTTGGTGATTGTTTTGCAACAGTATATAAAATATTTACATTTCGAAGAACATGTATACATGGAAATGGGAAATTGAATAGTGTGTTGGTGTATGGTGAAGCAATCGAGATGCATGTGATAGAGAAGGAGCGTTACAGAGTGATCGTGTTCGGGAGATTCACGCCGGCCGACGTCGCCATAAAGATCAGAAAGAAAATGAACCGCCGTGTCGAAATCCTCGACGTCGAAGAGATGGAACCCGATCCCCCCGCCGCCGACCAAGACCAGCCGGAGCAGAACCAGATTCAACCGCCGCCCGCCTTCCCCGGCGGCGGCTTCTCAATGTTTCCCTCGCTGGAGCACGACAATCGGAGGCCCATCTTCCCCTCTCTCTCCGCCAACGAATGCCGCTCCTTCTCGTCTTCTCGCCCCGACTTCACCGTGACTTGCTTCCCGGAGCCGGACAAGTTCTGGCATTATTATGGCCTTCAACTCGCCGGAGACACAGACTCTGCCTATTATGCTCACAATCCCAATTACTACTAGTTCAGATCCTTTTAAACATATTCATTTATTAATTCATTTTTATACTTCCGTAAACGTGATTAGCACATGTTCCTTGCTTTCAGAGGTTCAAAACTCCCATTCCCATTCGTTGTACTAGAAAAAATGGATAAATTTCGAATAAGTGCAGGGTCCAGTACCATATAGACAAACTGCACTACTAGGAATTATGCAGAACTAAAAGAAATATTCATCTATATATTACTGGACTCTAGGAATTCACGTGGAGCTTCCTCCTGACTTTTGGAGCTAATTTCTCCCCACGAGATAAATGCAAAAAAAAAAAAAGATTTTTATAAAAAAAATGAATGAATTGTCAATTTTTTTTAATGGGGTGAGGACATTAGTCCTTCTATATTAGGCCATCTATTTTATTTTAGGCTTTCATCCCATAACCATTTTATGTTGGGTAAAATATATTTTTTTGTCTACGATGTCTGGATTTAGTTTCTATTTAGTCTTTGAATTTAATAAACCATTACATTTGGTTTCTAAGATTTGAATTTAGTTTTTATTTGGTTCTTAAGTTTCAAAAATGACATACTTGATTCTTCAAGTTTGAATTTCATTTTAAATTGGCTCGTGAGATTTGAGTTTGATTTTTAATGAACATCTAAATTGAGTTGACTGCTGGTTGGTCTAGATGATGTGACAGTTAATATATATTGAGTAAGCTTTGCTATTAAGACAAAAGAGAATGGCGAATATCGTTAAGTCAACTAACAGTCAAAACTTAGGGACCAATTATAAATTACACTCAAACTTCAAATACCAATTAAAACTAAATTCAAACTGCAAGAACCAAATATCCCAAAAACAAAAACGATGGTTTTTTAAATTTAGAGGCCGAAAAGAATCATGTCCCAACATCAAGAATCAAAATGTACTTTTTTACTCGTTTATGTTTTTAGGGTTTAAGCTAAATATATCAAAGGGTCTAAAAACAAAATTATTGTTTCGGTTCTTAATCTTTTAAAAATTTCAATTTGATCTTTTATGTATTAGAAATTATCAATTAAGTGGTTTTGTAAAAAAAATTCAATGTAATTTGCTAATAGAAAAATGTCATTAAATTACTATTTCATAAACATATTTGAATACGTTGCCATGTCACATGCAATAAATGAATTTTATTGATTGTTGGATTGAATTTTGTTGATAGGATAGATTGAGCTTTATGTGTGAAGTTGGATTCCAATTTAATGTCAAAGCGAGCATAGCTCAACGGTAATTGACATATACCTCCAACTATAAGGCTGTGAGTTCAATCCCCACTCCTACATGTTGTACTAGAAAAAATGTATTTAATAAAATAATAATTTAATGATATATTAACTTTTTTTTAATGAAAGAACCTAATTGATTAAATATTTTAATATATTATAAAACTAAAAATGAATTTGAGACTAAAGGGAAAAGAAACTACTTTGTGATAATGAACTTGCAAAAGATTTGTTGTTAATTTCGACTTCACCTTAATTGTTTATCATTTGAATAAACATGCCATGGTCTGGTAAATGAGTCTCGTCTTTCACTTCTGCATGTTCATGAAGTTTTGAAAAATTCAAACACCTCACATCTTGATGGAAAGATCCTCTGTATCATCTATTGCTCCTTACAATATTAAGCGGAGAAACTAAATCATCGATATTGAAATGTTACCCCCTCACTTTTTTTTCATGGTGATAAGATAACTTAACAACTTTGAGGCTGCATTATCTTCCAACTATATCATTTTATTTGGCTCACTTCTCTAAAATGAATATATATTATATATATAGTTGGGAGAGCAATAGAATCCATCCTATTGTTGTAATTGGTAGATAAATTTGATATTATGACATTTGATTTTAATGACATGAGGTCTTTAATTATAGGTTATACTATTTGGTAAACATAAATTTATATTTGATTTTAATTTTGTTATATCATTTGTTGATCTCTATTTTTTGGATGATTTTATTTTATTTATTATTTTTTGCCGAAGAAGGGGAATTCAACTACAAATAATTCAACTACAAATGACTTATCACAGGTGTATCCACATGTAAATATACAATTCATCTTATTATAGAATTTTCAGTCCATCTGAACATATAGCTTTATAGATAAGATACAAAATTATATTTTTTAAGGTTAAAAATGTTGGAATAAACACTATGTTCTAAGGACTAATTATTATCTCTGACGTGTTCCTAATAAGAAATAACAAGTAGAAAAAATAATAAACAAACACCAGTAATTTTGATATGGAAAAGCTTTTCCAAGATAAGTAAAAAATCACAAATCCAAGTCAAAATCTACTCTATAATCTGGTCATAACTAGAAGCATAAAATAACAAAATCTCAAAACAATAAATCTCGACAAATTATACCGCTATATTACCAGAGAAAAAAATTAGAAAGATCCTAATCAAAGTGGTACCCTAATTACTACTATAATCTGACCTAATATCAACTTTTAGCATAAACAACTTCCGGTTAAAATATATATCTCCTTAAAATATCCTCTTTTTTTT